AATAAACATATGAAATGTGTCAAAGGTTTTGTGAAAGGTTTAAGGAATCTGAGTTTTCATTCTACTCTGAGTAAATGTGCATCACACATGCCTCAGAAATTACATCTGCTTTGCCTACTGAGCTTTATATTACATGTAAGAGCAATTCAACTGTGTCCCTTTGTTGATGAAGAAATCAAAATGCTAACTCCTGTGAGTTAAAAACAAGTTTTCTCAAAGCTTTTTTCAGTGGTTTCCATAGCAATGTTAGGGGATGGAATAAATACTTGATTCACTCCCAAAATGAGGTCGGCTACTGTTCTCTTTCAAAAGAGAAAACAAGAAGTTGGTTCCAGGAAGGAGAAACCTTAAAGAATTAGGAACTGATGCTTATATAACTGTGCGATGACACTGAATGTGGTAACCTTCACAGTTAGTTTTGCTGAAACTGTCACTGCAATAATCACAAGTTTAAAGAAAACATCTCATTAGAAGTTTGGCAAGTTGAATTGAATTTTTTTTTCAAGTGGTCAACATAAATATCATCAGCAGGTAAGTAACAGTGAAAACTAAAACACAAAGCCCAATACACAGCAGCATGCCCATCAACAGAGGGCATTTAAACAGCAACTCCACCCCCACCTGAAGAATGGTGATGGTCATGTTGAAGTGATGATGCTCCATGGTAGATGTGGAATACACCGCTGCTAAGGGCGTGGCGTTGTTGACCATGAAGGAGTTGTTCTTGCCCCGGTGATCCAGGTCGTGGCACAGACAGGCCACAAACAGGGCCAGACACTGCATGAAAAAAAGATGGAGAAACAAGACTATGGGTTTAGTAGTGGCATTAAAACTACTCCTGAACATCACTATAAAAACAGCAAGTCTGTTCCAAGGCATTTGGCACCTCAGGTCAGTGTTTCTCTGCAGCCTCCTTGGAATGAAATGACAGAGACTATATCAATTATCCCCCCCCCCCGGGTGGAATAAAAGCCCATCAAAGGCTACTCCTCAGCTAATGCTGGTACCCATTTGTGACCTGTCACCACAAAATGAGCTGAAAGTCAGAAATTTCAAAAACTGAGATATCGGTATTTTTTAATTTAGCAGAAAGAGAGCTTTCCAATGGCATGTACATGGAACACTTAGGGTAGAAGTATAAGGTGACAATGTGACATTATTCTGGCAGATTTGCGTCTTTGTTTCTGACACTGTTTCAATATTCAAATAATGCTTTTGTCACACTTGCTGAGAAAATGACGTTTTTAAATATGTGATTCTGCAAAATATTTGGAATTAAATAAGAGACGGGTTATTCTTTCCAAATATAAAAAAACACAAAAATTGACCTCCACTTCAATATGACTATGAACCTTCAAAATAAGAAAGAGTGGGATGTGACTTTACTCTCATTTTGTCGTGACAGATCACTTTTATACTCCTGGTTGGAGAGAGGCAAGTACCCTCTGCTTGCTAATTAAATCCCTCAGCAAAATAAATGCAAAAAAATTGCTAGAACTGCTTCCATGCCTGTGCCACATTCAACACCCCACATAGTGTGACTGGGTTTGCATATATATTATTTTGGTCACCTTGATTTCCATGACCGGTCAAGTTAATTTCTCTGGTTTGTCGATAATTCACTTTACCTCAACGGGGGTGAAAACTTCTTCTTGGCAGGTCTTAATGATGGTGTAGACACTATGAGCGACTGAGAATGCATGTGTCCAATTGTGGTAAGGAACCTTTCTGTAGTTCTTACGCACAGTCAGGATAAACCGACACAAGTCTTCATAATCAAAGCTGTAACACAGAGAGGATATATCAGTAAGGTTTCACAAGCAAAGGAATACAGCTAGTGCACTGATCAGCAAATTCATTGCCGACGATAACTCCACAGGGTGCCCCCCACTGCCACAACAATGTCTGCATGCGCACATATTTATGGGGAACCCCCCTAGGCTGTTACATGTTCGTCCCCATAGCAATTTAATTGTTGAGTTATAAGTAATGCCAGTCGGTTCAGTTAACCATTATAAAAATAGCCTTTCATGCGCAACAAGTACATGTATATTTGCAGTGGCAGGATCAAGTATACCTGTCAGTACTACAAATGCACGTGTACTTGTGGTTATCAGACAATATCTTGGGCCATTAGTTTGCGTAATCTTATGTAATACATAACTCACCATTTGCTACACGTAGACGTGGTGTGGATAATTGGTCACTTAAACGTTAATGTAAAAATTCTTGGTAACTTAACAATTTTCCCTTGCTGTTCTTTGCATTTATTCCTTCATGTGTGACCGAGTTGAAAAGGGCTAAATCTTTGAACATGTATTTGCCATCTGTGCTTCAAATCAAAATTCTAACCGTCTATGTGACTAGCAATAAGATGCTGCCATTTTGGATTACTCCTGCTTTCATTAATAGTTTCAGATTAATGAATGTATGTGTCAATGTACGTGAGGCAACCAAAACAAGAGTAACAACAGTTACGGATAGACAAATATATATTCTCCTCTATTGAACCATTACATAATTTACCACTTGAATATGCAAAATAGTGAAGAGAAAAGAGAAGATAATGAACAGTACAGTCAAGATGAGGTTTTTTGAGCGTCAAGTTCTTTAGACAAAAAATTTGACGGCATAAATTGCCATACTACTTGTGTATCATGCATGAAGTGGCAAGGGACTGGTTAAGTAAAGATGGGTGCACATTCACAGAATCCTCAGGTAAGTGAAATGAATATTTTTTTGCATAGGACTAAGAAAGTGACGGTATAAACCTCTCCAATACTATTCTACTAAAAAGTCCCATTTCCACAGTTCCAGAAGTGAGAGTCCTGTTATTACATGTGCTACCTAACAACTACATGTAAGTTGCGATACAAAATCAGAATAAAGACTCAGAAGATTGCCACATCAGGGTCCATGCAACAAACCATGCTAGCCCAGATTTACGGGGGCTGACTACACAATTTTCAAGCAGCATCATACTCAACCTCAACTCCATGGGCTGTGTGCCCATTCCTTCACTAGCCCCTGGTCGTGTAGAATACGAAAATGACGCTGACTGGCTATTCAGGATGAATACATAAACGTAAAGTCAATTGTGCGCATATTTCAAATGCTGCACGCTTGCGCCTATGTATTCTCCTGCACGTCAAGCATGCGCAAGTCTGCTTTGCCCGTAAACATACTGACTAAAGTCATAATTTAAATATCCCAACTACACGTAGCCGGATAATTAAATTAAACAATCAGGAGTTAGATCATGCAAGGCATGGTGGGAACCAACATGACGCGGCCAGATCATACCCATGGGAACGAGGTTGCATCATGCTAAATGTAGGGTATTTCATACGTTCAATTCTACTAGCCACCTTCACGTCTGCTAGTCCATTGCACAATCAAGACGACAACTCCGTCGTTACTCTATCGCATGCAAAATCAATCAAATATATCTACATGTACATGTACAACTCAATGTTCTAATTACCTATGCCGAAAGGCAGGTTTGAAAGGATGTTAAATAACAACTCAACAACAAATCACTGGTTCCAACTTGACATCAAATATATATCTGGAAAACATATTTTCTTTGTTATTACACAGTTGGAGATCACATTTCAAAGAGTATGCCTGCAGCGAATGAATGAATGAAATCTTTTTCTGTACTTTTGGTTTCCCAGCTTGCAGCTTTCGGGATATCATGTCCTTCATTATATCAATAATTACTCTGCATTCATAAGAGCACGTATGGGTAATAAACGTTAGATCAAGGTTTGAAAAGTTGAACATTTCAGTGATTACATTTACAATGTTGAAAACTCTGCCAGTTTTGCACAGTAAAATTTCCAAGTCCAAAAGAAGCGATGGTGTTACTGTACTAAATAAGTTGGCCAACAGACACACTGTACTCAGGACAGGAATCTACAGGTCATTACAAATGCAACAACTTCACATAAATATTTCTAAGGAGACACTGCGGAAAGAAAGAGGTAGCAGGAAGACTGGGGTAATGGAATAATAGGGCTAACCTCTGCGAGTTGTCATCATCATTGCTGGAAAAGAAATGACAAGAATGGGTGACATAGAACCATATGCACACACACACAGAACACTGCCCAATGACAGCATGCTATTTGTAAGATGCAAACCCACACAGAGTCTTGGGTCAGTAAACAGGGTAGTGAAAGCCAAGGAACAGATTGTGTCTAAAACTTGGCAGCAGCTATGTATATGCAAAAATATGATAAAGTGGTTTGACTCTGAAATCTTGCACCCATCAGAAAAAGTGGAAGATGACTGCAATGCTAAGCATGATCTCCAGAGGTGATGGATGGAATGTTCCACTTCATGAGATGAGACAGAGTGGAATGCATCATGTTATCAGTCATCAATTGGAATTATTCTTACTTTAGCACAAATTGGAAACATTAATTATTTGCTTTATAGGATATCCCTGTAAAGCCCAAATAAATTCCCACTTGCTGGAGTGACTAACCAGTTCAGCAATTGTGTTTGATCATAGACTGGAACCCGTTATTTAATCAGCACCATGGATTAGAGTGTTCCACTTTTACAGTGCAGCTACACATTGTGTGTTCATATCATGCAACATGTGACCCATCAATCAGATGACAGGATATAATTATTCAGGCATTGAACAATTATGAATATTGTATCCTTACGCATGTTGCCAGTAACTCCATTCATATATAATTTGCTGCAAGTGCCTTGTATAATCCAGTATTATACATGTAGAGATGTAGCTATCAATAGCAGTGGATCATTGATCTTCAATTGTTTGCAAATTCTCAACTTGAGTGTGATTAAAATTTAACACAACATTAAAATGAAATGAGAGGATGTGAGATGAATCCATATATCCATGAATAACGCTGTCACACCTGTGTGTGCAGGTAAAGCGAAATGACAGAAAACAAACACACACTCAGAGCAAACATAAACATTTCCATTCAAAAGCACAACAAACTGGAACAAAGTGTCTTAACTTTGATAACATGTAAATATACCCCTTTGGAACTCTAAAAATTAAACATTCTTAGGGTGTACATTTGCAGGGGTTGTAATCAAGTCAAGGATAGGTCATTACAAATCAATGACTGGTCAAACAAATTCATCACTAGTCACTGCAATTAATCTCCAGCTAATCGCAAGTCATGTAATGCAAATCACAGGTCAATTACAAGTGAGTCACATGGAAGTCACAAGCCAATCACAAGCCAATCCCTGATCAAAGTCATTAGTCAATCACACATCGGTGACTAGTCAGTTACAAGGTATCACAAGTCATTCACAAGTCACCACGACCCAAGTCAATCAAGAGTAAGTCATAAATCATTTACCAATCACAAGTACACTGCAAGTCAATCACAAGTCATTCCCTAACCAATCAGAAATCATCGCAGGTCAATCACAAGCTAATCACAAGTCATTCCCTGACCAATCACAAGTTATCACTGGTCAATTGCAAGCCAATAACAAGTCGTTCATTAACCAATCACAAGTTATCACAAGTCAATCACAAGCCAATCACAAGTCATTCCCCGACCAATCACAAGTGATCTCAACTATTGGTCACTTCCAAGTTGCCGATGCAGTCAATCATTAGTCAATCACAAGTCCTCCAGTCTCAAGTCAACTGCTATTGAAATAAACTACATGCACACAACGTGACAGACATCTCTTTCTGTCCTTTAGCACGACTGGTCAAATGGATTGACTGGATTACATTTTTGACTTTTGCTATCCGTGAAAAAGTCTGAGTTTATTTTGTAGTAAAGGCAAAGACAGAAGCAGTTTTTACCCGTTCAGAGTGAACATATCCTGGAACATGCACAGCACGTAGAGTGGCTTGGCTTCTTCATCCAATCCCCATGGGGAGAAGTCATACCTGAAAGCACAACAAAGGCCATACTGAGCTGGACAAATATGATTCAAACGAGCAATATGCATCAAAGCATGTATAATACTGAGAGAAACAGGAACATTGTAGAGCACTAAATAATTGGACAAATGTAAACTATGATGCAAACATAAAAGGAAAGATCTTGCAAGGGTTAAAAATGACACACAACACTACAAAACTGAACACTGCAATTCTTGAATTCCCTAAAACCAAAACAATCCTTTGTTATGTCTTTGTGGAGTTTTAGAAACCTCGCAACATTGGCCCCTGGTATAAATTACGGTCTCAAATGAATACAGAAATGAATATGTGTACTAAAACATAAGAAATCTGTGCATCCAGGCATACACAGAAGAAAGGTTGAGAGCACCACATCAATCAATCCATTGATTTTTATTCATGAACTATCTGCCCATAAATTTGTACAATATCTTCACCCTTGCACAGGGTATTTTTTTGAGCCAAAATTTTTGAAAAAGGCAAAATTCACATGTATCACCAGCTTGTAAAATTCAACCCACATAAACACTGGCTTGCTGCTGTGCAGGCCATATGCATGTACAGTGGCTGAGTTCAACACAAAGATCCAGCTCCATACACTTCCTGGATGTTGTGTAAATGTAGAACAAATTATGACTAACAAAACGTGCATGTATGTCTATTCAAAAAGACTCATGAAACGCTTGACGGTTAACCCATCGATTGCCCCAGCAACAATAGATGGCCCCGGCCCCGGCACGAAGTGGATAATTCACTTAAAGGGTCTCTATGGTGAATTTTCCTATGGTGAATTGTGCACATTTATATACCTCTTCAGTGTATATAATATTACTACACCTCATAAATATTCATGAGCAAATCAGTCCGCGTCAATGGCCGATTCCACCTCACGTCTGGGAAGTAGAAATGATACACGACCAGGTGACGTCATAGCGGTGAGTATCCACCTTGCTGCTGTGTGGTATTTTTTTCTGGTAGCATCAAAAATCCCTCTGGAACCCGCCGCGTAATATTACGTAGTCTGTGTCACGTAATCTTTATGGAACCAGTCTGGAGTTGTATCCTAATAACTATTACAGTAAAAACCCAAAACGTATGTCAGCACCAGACTATGAAGCCCTGTTTCTATGCACATCTGCACTGCCCTATCATTACATGGAAATTTAGCAGCTGAGAAACAACAATGGCGTCTGTGAGTACAAGTAACGTGAGATTTCTGTTTGAATATTTATAAAGTAAAACAAACACAGCATGGTTTATTTCGGGAAAATAGTGGGAGTTAAGGGTCCCTCGGTGTGGGTCAATTTCACTATCTCCCTCCACTTCGTGTCGGGAGGTAGTCAAGCTGACCTACACCTTGGGACCAGTAATTCCCACAACTTCCCCTAAAACCATGCTGTACACTACTGGTGTATGCCATCCATTGTGGGTTAACAGTACTGCTGCTACTGGAGGTTTAGCATTGTCCAAGCTTTTCTGGACAACTTGGGGTACTGTAAATGTGATATCAATCAAGGAAGACAAAACTCTGTTTCTATATTCTTCTGTCAAAAGGCGTGACCACAAAACTTGCTCACCGAAAACATCAATCAATAAGGTTTGCTTGTTGGCTTATTGCCAAGTACAGTACTTACACAACAATAAATCACCAAAGAAAATGGAACTTAGGATAACAAAATGTAAAAATACTCCTGCAACTCTCTTTGCACAAATCAATGCAAGGTGGAGACTTTCCGGCTAGGATGACATCACAGCTTGAAATTTGCATTGGCATAAAAGCTGGCATTGTAATACCTTTTAAACCACAAAGGTAGATTATTTTCATGGGTTTTAGACAAAATAATTGCATGGCATAGACCTTTTAACTGCAGAAAAGCCAAACATGGATGACTGGATGGACAGACGGCACTGAGTTACTGGAGACTAACAGAGCAACCATTACCTTGCAAGTTGAGGCATGGGGTCTGGCAATGCAACTTTTTTCAAGTTCTCCAGATCTTCTTCATAGCACTGACTATGGTAGCTCAACACTTCCAGGGCAACTTTGTGTTTCTGCTCCGATCGATGGATTTTATCATAAAGCTGCACACAGATAGCGCAAAAATAAACATCTTCAAATGCTTTAATAACACTTTGATAGCACTTAAAAATTTCAATAAAGGCTAAGTTTCATGTCTTCAGTTTTATGTGACAAATTGATTTTAAGTGATGCCCACGGACAGAGAGGCATTTTAATCTGGATTAAATTTGTGTATTTGTGACCTCTGTTGCACATTCTATTCCCGACACACAGTAAAATTTAGAATTGATCTCTGGCAGATGTACGGAATGGTCCATTACATACCGACACATAGCATGACTTAAGGGGCCTTTTTTGCAGAGTGGGTCACATATGATCTGGAGGAAAACTTGTACAGCTCTTAAGAGATAAATAATATGATAAAGATCAAGACAAATTCTTGAGATTTTACTGTAACCTTGGCATGATGCAGAGCCAAACCACAGAATACAGCGAAGGTCTCAAAGGCTTGTTCATCAACTTTGGTAAAGTATCCTTGTTTCTTGTTCACCATCTGCACCACACCGATCACACTGCAAATCAAACATACAGCTGCCAGTTTCAACTTGTAGCAGAAAAACTTCTAACTTCAATTCAATTCAGTTGTCACATAGGTAAAAAAGGGAACATTTATTTACTGGTCACAAGTAAACAAGTGTTAACACCTCTCACGTTTAGTACAGTCCAGCTCAATGTCAAACTTGACATCGAGAATGTACACAATGTAGAAAGTATCAGGAGGAGCACTGCTATCTTGGTCAAATTTAGAAAAAAATGAAACATAGTGATTTGTACATACTTTCCTCTGTTGTATATCGGCATACACAGAATAGTCTTAGTAACGTAGCCGGTCTGTTGATCAACATCCCTGCGAAGACAAAATACATGTTTCATTATGAAAACATTCCAACAAAAATTGTACACATTCTATCACAAATCTTGGGCTAAATGAAGGCAAGAATTAAAACAGTTGATGATGCAATGAAACCTCAACCAAATTTTCAGGGATGATGAACCAGCAATGCAAACAACAGCAAAATAATTTCAATTTCACAAGTATTATATTAGAAAAAAGTACCACTGAATACAGTCAGGATGTTACCAACCAACTGTGCACCGGCATACTGAAGTCTGTGTGTGTGTCCTAACCTTCTCACAGACTTTTAACTTACATGTAATTGGAAAAAATAACACTACAATATGCAAGCTACATGTAGGAGAAGCAAGGTTTCCAACATCCGCATGTTCATTTCAGTCTGAGTAAGCCCATTAATTGCTGGCACAAATTTGGTACAGGAATCTCTTTTTGAAAACAAGTTGGGTCTTGTTATTGTTGTTGCTAATGGGTTAATATTGCTTTCAAAATATTACATGTGCCTGTAAGCCATCATTCACGCTATGGGACTATGGTTACTGGCAGTAAAAACATACATGGGGGTGAACATCAACTCAACTATGCATGCTAATAACTGACCTGTTGAAGCGTTCATCTAGATAGGCATCAGGGATGTTAAGAACTTGCCCAGTGGAAGCTACGTAACCAGCAACACCTTTATCCATGGAAAACCTGCAGGAAATGGACAAGATATTTTACAGTAATTTACAATAACTAATTAAGTTGGATTACCAAGGCGGTGACACACAAAAGCAAGCCCCCCTTTTCAAAGGTTGGTATTGCAAAAACTAAGGCTTGGAGATTGGCACAATAAGCTTTTATTCTTTATCTTTACAATAAAAGGATATAGGTGACGTTCTAGGTTGGGTCAGGAAGCCAGAAACATTCCTATGTTTTGTTTCATCTACATTGTATCATGAAATAAAATTTAAAACGAAACATGCACTGAATTTTTCTTTGACTGAGTTTTATGTATCTTTTATAGTGTTGAAAACTGTGTTTAATCCTTAGAGAGTTATGTGCATTTAAAAAGCACTTTTTGAACATCAAAATTGTCCAAACTTTTCTAGAGGGCACTGTACTGCTGTTTACAAATCAATGCAACACTGAGGTTCATTGCCTTGGATGGAATCACGGTTGTGCTCTCAAATATGTTAATGCTATTAGCGTAAAAATCAAACAGGCACCAACATACAGAGAAAAATTGCACACAAAAATCGAAAACAAGCTTAACTGATACACAACGGTGCAATGTTTTAGGGCTGAGGTATAATAATCATATTACATGGCCCCTATTAATATATAAAAATATTGAATAGGCTTACAACTGGTACACCAATAGCCCACGTTACCTGATTTCTTTTTGTTCATTTTCTACAACTTGCATTCCAACACCGTTGCCAACATCAAATATTCTAGCATACAACTCTCTGGTTTTGTTGTCGACGAGGAAGAGTGAAGCGCGGTCCGCTGACACCAACTTCTGTGCAAAGTTCTGAAATGGTCCATAAAGAGAACAGAAAACTAGAGTACAGAGGAAAAAGTTCACAAATTTAGCAAGTCAAAGGTTTTGTTCATTTAGATTGCAATGGATGTAGAAGTGCACTCAATGCAAACTTGACCTCCTGAGTAGAATGAGTGAGTTGTTGCTAAGGTCATCCTTTCATACGGGGCAATGTAAAATGCTTCTGTCATACAATAAGGAACAGACGTCATTCAGAATATTTACCATGATCTTCATGATGACTGTATCCATGCTGATAATGTCTTGAAAAATCGACCTGAAAACAAGAACAACAAAAGGTGTTTAAATGGTGAAAAAAAGTGCACATGAAAAACCTACCATGTAGATATCTGTGTTTCAGTAACACTAGAGATTGAATTGTACACTGTTCTTTTCACACACGAGTAAGAACAGATTGGGGTAAAGAAAAATTCCACTTCACCATTCATTTTATCTTTGAAGATACAAGTTGATGATGATCCAGTATCTCTCTCTTTTAATTTCACTCTTAACATTTAATTAAGTCGGTACATCCTTTCTTGAGTTACACTTACCTTATCACTTCATTTCTGGCATAGTGAACACTTTGAACACAGTGACATGCTTAAGCCTTACAACCAAGTTTACCCAAGCCAACAATGAAATGGACAAAATTTGTGATAATCAGGGGTGTGAGTGGAGCATAAGAACTACATGTAGCTGAAATCACGAACGTGAAGCGCAAAGCATATACGGCATGGGGTCCAGGGCCCACTTAAGGGCCTGGGAAAATTTAGAAATGTAGATGCTCTGAGGTGCATTTTACAGCCTCCTGGTGCAACTATCAGCCTTTTTGTCTTGCAATTTAGGCTACGTATATTTTAGATTTTAGTTTTTCATATTTGGCTGAAATTCCTGAAGGTTAAAAGGAACTAGTAATAGGTATACCAAAATTGTAGCTATTGAGGTTTGAAGACTGGGTTGGCCCTTTTTCCACCTGATCTATCTATTTTTTTGAAATTTCAATTCTTTCAAAGAATGCACATCAAATGTCTAGGCTTTTGGATTTTCTGGGCGCATACTGTGTGCCTGCCCATCTACAGTGTATTCCATCCACGTCCATTTGTAACTTGAGGATCGGTCTTATCAAAGGTTGTATAACGGTCAGAACCTCTTTGGACAATTGTACCATTTTGTTGCGCTGACATTTCAATGAGGTTTATGTCAAAAAATTGTTTGAAAGCCCGTACAAAGCGATGCAAAACTGCGTGATAATGCATGACACAAGAACTTTGTGTGCCCCGCACCAGTTGTCACGAAACCCCATATCACCGAAAACGAAAATCTACCAGCCTTACTTCAAGCCGCAAATTTGGAGTGAAATGTTAGTTAGTTACTACTTCCATTTACGCAGGAACAGCTGTAACAAGTCCCACTGACACAAGTATGAATATTGATATTTCATTAGCAGCCAATAACTGCACAATGACCGGATGGTCCGAGGATGCTGTTTACACACAAGGTTTACTCTGCACCAAATAATGCCTGCACAAATTCGTACACTGTACACAAGTCCTTGTACCGCTACATGTACTGTGTTGTACAGTACATTCAGTCATGTGCATACTGTGCTCCAGTACTGTGTCGGAAAGAGGACATGCCAAGTTTGGCCAGGCCGTCGCATCGCGTCAGTAAAAAAAAAAAAAAAACAGAAAAATCTGCACTTGCCCAAGGAACAAGAATGAGGAAAATCTGGCCCCTGATGGCCAAAAAGCCGAAAATGAACTTCGGCCTATTCAACAAAAAAAGCGGAAATCCACTAAAAAGCCAAGATTTCACACCCCTGGATAATGTATCAGGTACGGCGAGATATCTAATTAAGGAACTACACATGTAGTGTGTCAGCTTCTGCCACCAAGGAAGGTTCATATCATTTAACTACCCTCAAACAATATTTCATTTCTACATTGTTCTATCTTCATAAGTGAACTACATGACTTCAGTAACAGCTTGTAGATAATGTGTGATATTATGGTGGACTTACTTGGTTACAGTCAAGAGGAAGTCATTCAGCTTTCTCTGCTTACTCATGCTGACACACATCTACAAATATATGTCAAGTTAATGCACATCTATTACATGAGTCTTCCAGAAGATAATGTATTACGTGACACACTCTGAGGCAAAGATGTCCTGTTTTTCTCTCTTTTTTTCAGGCACAACTGCTTAAAAAATGTTTACAGTTGAATTACAATTCAAATCAATGTCTTTTCTCTCACACTGTTGATTTACATGACGTTCATGTACACTGCTAAATTTACTTTTGAATACATGCAGTTCTGACTGAAAGTGTAATACATGTTAGTATGCAGAACATGATAATGGGTTACGAAATAAATGGCCAGTATCAATACATTCTGTCTTGGAAACAATTTAAAACCTCATTTCCAAAGAGGTTATATCTGCAGTTTTGGCAAATGGAAGCAAATAACATTCTTTTAATTTTATTGACCTATTTGCAAGATTATTTGAGTTGGCTCCATCTCTTTAATGGCTGTCCTAAAACTGGCTCAATTCCTCTGTAACATGGCTTGATGCCAGTGCCACGGCATTTATCAATAGGACCCAAACATAGACATGCAACCACTTATTAAATTGTGCACATATGAAAATGGCATTACCTGAGCGTAATGAACTGCAATGCTCCCCCACACAAGGAAGGCACTTGCTGTCTGCACACAAATTAATTTACAAGAATTACACGCTGAAGAAGGAGGACGATTGGGAAACTTAAAGTAAATACATACAAAGATTTGAAAAACAAGAACAAATATGGACATCCATGTGCATGTTATTGTTTCATGTGGGAATATGAGATTACAATTGATTTGAGCAATCAATGCCTTCCATCCCTGGCACCTGCAGCCCAAATCCCACCTTGGTCTGCATGTGGATTGGGTTCTCAGTCACTACTTCCCAGGAATACTTGTCCAGGGTTTTACCTCCACCTTTAAAACTAAACATTTCTCCAACTGAATAATTCTTTATATCTCTAGAGCAAGTTGTTAAGGTAAAAAATTTGTAAAAAGCTCATCCATACTACATGAAGACAAGTAACCTGACACACGACACCATGTGTTGTTCACAGTTTACTGGAGTGACACATTGGCACTCACAAGAAGTACATGTATTGTCAGTAGACTACATATCTGAATGGTACAAACAGCATACTGCATATTCACTCACTTCCTGTGCTTCATCGGTGAACGAGGCGTGCCCTTGATCAGTGTCACGGTAGAATTCTAGCACTCCTTCAGAAAAGATGGAAAACAAGAGTCAATCATTTGGGGGTTGAAGAGCACACTTTGTCCAAAGCCTCACAATTTCCACTGCTGATATGTTGTGGCTAATAAATGAGGGAAAACAGAAAATCTCCCTAAAAAACCAAATCTTATAAAATTATCAAAGATGCATGAACTTGAATACTCAAAATAATATATCTGTATGTTGGAATGCGGAGAAATCAAGAAAAGCAGATAATTTGGAGCACTTTGAAGAGTGTCTTCCCATTTCATTCAAGTAAATTTGGAGCATTTTGAAGAATGTCTTCCTATTTCATTCAAGTAAATTTGAAGCATTTTGAAGAATGTCTTCCTATTTCATTCAAGTAAATTTGGAGCATTTTGAAGAATGTCTTCCTATTTCATTCAAGTAAATTTGGAGCATTTTGAAGAATGTCTTCCTATTTCATTCAAGTAAATTTGGAGCATTTTGAAGAATGTCTTCCCATTTCATTCAAGTAAAATTGGAGCATTCTAAAGAATGACTTCCCAATTTATTCAAGTAAATTTGGAGCATTTTGAAGAATGTCTTTCCATTTCAATCACTTAAATTTCAAGAATTCCCCCACCCCCATTTCACTACCACTTTAATACACTTTAACGACATTCACCAGTCACTACTTTTCTGCAATGTATGATACAGAATGGCTAAGAATGCTCAATGTACATGTACAGTATGCTCCTTAGCTTCGGTAAGAGCTGAGAGTAGTTGGTGACGGAGCATGTGAGCAGGAAGCCCAAGGCACGGGGTTCGGTTTCCTTACCTACTAAATCCTCATTTGCTTGTAAGACGGGAAGAGCAAGAACAGTGCTTGCTGTCACACCATCTGCCACCACACCCTCTGGATAATCAGCCTGCACAAGAAAATAAACATGGTCAAGTCTTTTTTCAATATGTTGTAGAAACAGTTTAGTTTAAGTGAAGGCATGAGTACGTGTTCTTTGACTGAAATGAGCTGAAATTTGATTTGAGTAGCTAATTCAATTCCACATTCGGGTTTCAAACCCACAGCTCTACATGTAGTGTACAGTATGCATAAAACTGAGTCAGTACATGTAGGTCTTCCAGTGCATAATTTTGGAAGTGATGAAATCCTAGATTGTGTTTTTTATTTAGTTTACATTGCATCAAGTTACAAAAGATTTCAATCAGAAAGCATTACTCAATGCAGGCATGTGAATGGGCATGAAGAAAAAAAAACTGAAAATAATTTGTGATGAAATTTATCCCGGGGAGACTACTGCGAGCGTGGAGCGCAAAGCCTTTATGGCGTAGGGTCCCGGACCCACTTAAAGGCCCTAGGAAAATGTTGGATTGTAGATGCTCTGTGGTGCAATCTGCGGCAATTCATGGCCCCTTTTCCCTCTAATTTATTGAAGCAAAATTTTCTCAATAGTAAGAATATTTCTTGTTTTTAAAAAGTACCCTTAATTTTTTTTATTAATTGGACAAAGTAAAACTTGAAATGGCCGTTTAAGTATGAGGATGTTGATTTGACATCATCTCCTTTCTTTTTGCAGCTAGGCATTCCAGTGCATTTTTCCAAGCCCTCTTCCTATCATGGAAGTGTTTGCGGTGTTTATCCTACTTAGCTACATGCTGTATCAATGCTTTAGCTCCGGAAGTACCATACTCGAAATGAATACAACACCACTTGCACCATGCTTCTCCACGATTGTAAAGCTTGTAAAAGCAGTCGCCAACCATGTGCTCATCTTCTGTTTTAGCCAGTAATGATTTGTCGCACCATGACCAGTTCCACTTGGTTTTTACTGATTTGTCAATCTCTTTCCGATCGGCAGCTCCTCACTCAAAGAACTTCTTTCCTTCCGCCATGATTTTGATTTTTTCCCAACTGCATGTGAACGTGTATACGTACACACGTACCTGTACCAATTTCCAAAAGCCAGTTCGCACATGGCCATGCAGCAGCGCTGCCACGAACTTACGTCTCTATGAAACAAGGACCCATTGGGAGTAATGGGCATGTGTAGTACGTCCGTATGATAATTAGGAGAATGACTGGTCATGTGAGAGGAGTTAACCAATAACAGGTAAGAGTCTGATTTTGATGGGAGTCGGATTTTCATGTGACACCGGGCATTCATGCGATCGCGAAGTGCGAGCGACTGTACTTGTCACAGGTTTCCTCCTTTGGCTAAGTAAAGAGAATTTATGTTTGTGGGAATCCTTAAAATTCATTCCTTGTTTCCTACGTACCTTGTACACTTCGAAGGGCATTGCTTATACTGTCCTGAAGCAATGTGTGAATCCAATTGTTTCAACGTACAAATTTCACTGGGAATTAGGGAAACTTTGAGCACCGCGTAGTCAACCAACATTTACCCCCCTTACAATTCCCCCCCCCTAAATTTCATTCCGTTTCTAAGACCACAAATATGAAGGGGAAAAAACGGAATTCCCATTAAACTGGAAATATTCCCATGCCTGTCAATGGGAAAGACACAGTATTTCAAAACAACCAACCCCTTACTTAACAGGAAACACTTTCTTAAATACAATCAGGCCTTGACCTTAGCACTAGACCAAGGTACAAATTCCAGTAAAAACCGCTGCGGGCTGGTAAAACACTTTCTTTAACTTAACCGATATGGCTAGTAAATAAGTACTTTCCTGTGTAAAACTGTCACTTGTCATATTTGTAAATAAAACCAACGTTGTGAAATTGATTGTATGTCTTGTTTTTTATTAATTGCAACAGTTTCCAATCTTCCACTTTTAAGTTTTGGAAGTGAAAAGCACTACATAGTAAATGAAATAATGAAGTTGAAAAAAAAGCCAGTCAAAGTTTGTTTTGCTCACAAAAGTATCCAGTGAGCAAGGGAAAATTCCTGTGGGCTGGTAAAGAAATAGCTTAACTTGCCTGGTGGGCTAGTTAAAAGCTAGCTTAAAGTTAAGGGGTGTATGCTGTAAGGCAATGGAAAATTCTGAGGGGGGGGTTACACATCCAGAGGCTCTCTTTATCAATCAAAGTCATCGTAGTCTTTCATTTTTTCCCCTAGTCCTTGTCTTTATGAAATTTGAAGTTTACATTTCAATTAAATATCAAGAAGTGTACCAGTATCTTACTGCTGTGTTGTAGCACTTGTACTCACGTCCTTTTTTTGGTACTCATACATAAAACTCATGAAAATGTACTCACACAAAAAATCTCTGTGTACTCATGATGATTGGCGAAATGCTCACACTTATTTACACGAACGTAATTACACTTACGGACGTGTACTCAACTACAACACTGGAAGGCTTACCGTGTGAATCTCTGTCGTATTGACTGTATGCAGAGTATGGGCGACATAACCTGCCAAGGATTTGCCTTTTCCTATGGGCCAGGTAATGCCAGGCTCCTCTCTGTCCCGCCCCCCCAAAAAAAGAAAGAAAAGAAAAAAAAAACATTACATATTAAGTAAACATTTATAAATCTGGGGATGTCTTATTTTTCACAGCTCCCCTAGGAATCCTTTGATTGGTAATTACAGATACCAATGATTTGCCATTTGCAATTTCAATACAGTAGTATGATCAGAAACATAGGTGAGGTTTTTCTTCAAAACTGTTTCCAACATGAACATGCAAAGAATACTCTTTTTTTCTAGACCCCTTCCTTCCCTAGAAAGTACAAACTGAGAAGTTTAATAAATTCTCTGTTGAAATTACATGTATCATCCTTTTTTTTCAAACAGGGTAAACATGCATATTTTAAACACCTTCCCTTCCCCAGCGAACGGTTTGAATGCTCATGAAAATCACGGGGAAATGGATGGCCCTTATACTGAAAGTCAATTCTGCCATTCTAGAAACTTCTATTCAAGAAATAAGAATCACCGCTTAATATCCTTCTGAGTGCTTAGAAAGATGATTTCATTAAGCACTGTGTACTCTGGGCAAATTTTGAAGGCTCATGGGAAAAAAATTCACTAGCCTAATTAGGTTAGACTTGAAGAATGACTTCCTGCTTATACACTCAGATGTCTAAACCTCTTGACTGCAACAGCCATGGTTGGATTTTTTCTCATCATACATGAAACAAAAATTTGCATGACACATGGACTGTCTGTATACATGTATATACGTAGCATCACAATTTTCTTGACAACAAACACACATAATTACTTCATACAACTTTGACTTCCTGGTGCCTTGGAGCGGTCTTTTCTAACTCACGACACTACATAAGCATGATCCTTCAAATATCAGGTGAGTTTGTCTTACAATCAATCTGAAATGGGACTTACCCCTTGTGGTCCGCATTATATTCATACAGTTCCTGCCAAACAAATGCATAAGGGATAAAGTGTCATTCTTGTACAAATGAAATTACACAGAAAGGTAAGGATGAAGTGAAACAAACCTGAAGGTAAATAATCATAATGCATTTACTAAAGCTGTGCTTTTTAAGCCTTAAACAGCTGGAGAAGGGCAGAATGCAATCACCCTTTTCTGTGATATCATCGCACCACATTTCTTCCCTTGCTGAAATTTCATGTTTTTTTCAGTAACGTCTTGCAGTCAGTTTGATGCCAATTTTATGATATCACAAAAAGCCCATTTTTCAGAAATTCATGTACATGTACACATGTAGGTCAACCACAAGGCTATAAACTTCAAATGTCCATAACAGAAACCCCATTAGGTTTAATTGAAACGTCATACACGTATATGTACATGTACATGCGAGAGTCTTTATGAGTAGAGTGTGCCAAGTTTCACAATGATTGGGCATGGAACAGCCCAAAAGTTCTGGGGAGTGGTGTGAAAACTGCCCCTCCCTGGTAGTGGCATGGTAAAAAAAAAGCCAAGCTCTTTTAGGGTCAATGGAACAAAACACACAAAAGACACAAAGATTTCAGGCTTCAGAGGTCAAATTTCTTGTAACTGTGTAATAGAACACATGGATTACAGCCTCCTTTTTCATAATGTAGCCATGTTGTACAAAATGTATATTAGGATTAATAACCAATCAGATGATTAGGATTCCCTCAAGTATTATAAACAATCATGAAAGCCACTAGAAAGATTCATTTTTACATCTCACGATTTTCAAGACCCTACAATGACATAACCATGTCATTAACACTTTACAATGTTTATCTGATTTCTGGCAATGTACAGGTATCAAGTTAATCAGTCTAATCCAATCCAAGCTTGAAATCATTCCACTGTGCATTTCCATTCAGGTGTGTGATTGTGTGTAGTAAGCCACAACCCTCCGGCAATATCCAGTGACTACAGGTGACTACTACATTGTACATGTACTTACTGTCCCTCTCTCAGTCACCAGATAGAGTGTGAACCCGTCTGCCTGGATCTGAGAAGCCACACACTTTGCCATTTCCTGCAAGATGCGAACCCGGCTGGCGTAGTGCTGCAAGTCCTGGGTCAACTCATGCACTAGTTTCTTCCTGTCGTGGAGTGTTACGCCTTTCTGTAAATACATGTATGAGCACATGGCAACCTAAGTGAAGCAATGTCCTTTGAAAGTCTTCAGACTATTCACTGCAATTACCACATTACAAAGCTTAACTGATTACCAGATGCTGTCCTAGCCCGTTCCACTGCTCAATATTTCAGTTAATCTGTTACTGACCAAAACAGTTGAGCAGCAAAGATGTAGCGGTACATACATATCTACATGTACCGGTATCCAAGTCTTTTGTAAGATAATGAACATAAAATGCAAAGACACCCTTAATTCACATTAGATGCCCTGCTCAACTGCTACTGAGAAATTTTCATTGCCATACAGTGAGTACAGTGCATGGAGCATAATGAAATGTTTAGTTTTGATTATAAAAATGATTATTTCTGTCATTCATCCATTCCATTCCCTTCCATTCCATTTCTTCAATTAATTAATTGATTGACTGACTGATTCATTCACTCAATTTCATTATCCACAATTGGAAATTTACAGTGGAATTCATGTTGCATAAAATACATCCACAATTTGAAGTAGTAAAAGTAAAAACTTACACAAAAAACAACCCCATTACATGAAGGTTAAAAAATCTCGCTATCTGATTAACATTATGAAAAGACAAAATATATATACACATATTTATATACACATTAGAAAGACATGTAAAAAGGAAAACTGTACAACTTGATTGGGTCGACCAGCAACTCCCTTAACCCTAACCATCCTCAATCCTTCACCTGTTGGACGACTGAAGAGTGTTAGGGTTAATACACATTAGATGCCCTTTCTATTTTTAAATCACTTTTAACTTAACACTGAATATATGTGTTTATTTATGTTCATTTTCAGTATTTTATATTGTTTCCTATCAAATTTATTATTAGTAGTTTTACATTATTATTATTTTATGTACATGTAGTTGTAGTTGCGCTTCCCCTTGTTTCTAAGGGCCACCTCTATATAGCCTACTTATGTCATTCGTTGAATGTTTTCTTTTCTTTTTATGTATTAATTGAATTATCCATCAAATCAAATGGTAGCCAATGTATTATGCTTACCTTCTGGGTAACTTCACTTTTATCATGTTTTACTTTAGTTTCACCTTAATATATTCTTTTATATTTTAACAGTTTTTATATTCAATTTTAATCTTATTTTATGGATCAATTTTAGGGAGCATATTTTTGTAGTATTTTTTGTTTGATTTTATTTCTATATATAAACAGGGCCCTTAGGAATTGCAGTTCTTTTCATAACTGACGAGGCTACCCTGTATAAATAAAACAGATAATAACTCATAAATAAAACACATGCAACTAGTAATTGAGAACCCTCAGTTGTGTATGCTAGAGAGGTGAATAAGCATTGTATAAGAGTATCAGCAAATGAATAATTTACGCTAGAAAGAGAAAAAAAACTTAAGGAAAAACCAATTTATGTAAATATACATGTATTACACATCTGACGACCATCCAAAAACAGTGTGAGAACTGCAGGGCTACTGTGAATCCCAAACCATCCAGTCCACCTAAAAACTGGACTATAGAGAAAGTAGAAAGAATCCTTTCATAACACTTGTTAAATGTTCTTATTGAGAAAGACACAAAGGAATTTGTTAACTTATGTGTACATGTACATGTACTTCGTACCGATACCAGTATCAACGTTCTACCTGATCTAAGCCGTACCTACTGACTGTTTAGGGGATGGTTGGAAATTCCTACATGTATTATACACTGGGTTTTTATCTCACACTCTATCAACACATATCTTATCGCAAAAAGATTTCTTTCTCAAGAACTCTCCCAGCTTGGTCAAACACCCTCTGTAACCTTTCCTTATCTTCCTCTTTGCATTTTTTATTGATATCATTTTCTTTTTTTGAGAAAAAGTATGAAACTGTAGAAATGACTTCCCTCAGTTTTGCATCTACAGTCTCTCAGCACTTGACCTTCATAGGCCAACAATTTGATACTTTCAACAAATTTGAGATGTGTAGTTTGATAAATACTTTCCTCAAAATGCAACCAGGATGAATGCATAAACCACAGATATTAAATGCAAACAATGAAATGACGGCATGAAGATGACAAGAATGCACACATCACATCTCAAATTCTCAAACTCACTAAGCCCATAACCAACTGCCGCCATGGCAACACCAGCCTTATCAAAATAATGCATGACTTTGAAGTGTGCGTCAGGAGCAACTACTGGTATGGCAGCTGAAAAGAGAAACCAGTTTGCCGGCCACAGGAAGAGATGAATGAAGCAGTCTAATGTGCGTAACGCTGGCAGTGATAGCATGGTCAGTTGAACAAAGTAATCTCAACACGCTACTTGTCATTCACACATGCATGCGCACAATCAGCAAAAACAAATTCAGCCAACTGAATTGTTTTCAAATGTAGCACTAATGGTACCATAACAACTTAATTAAACTATGTCAGAGTGTTTCCCCTGTAATTATCAGGAAGCACATCATTCTAATAAAAATACAATTAGACAAATCTACATGTACATGTACTTTATCAAGCATGTAAGATAAAATACATGTAAGTAACAATGAAAGCTACATCTATGTTTTTCTATCATGAATGCAAGAATCTCTAACCCCCTTGGGTGAATGTAAAATCATATAAAAATTGGAGGATTTAGGACTGTTAGAGTTAATAATCTCCCATTCCACTGCATAAAAATTATTTACCACTTTGCCTTAGTGCCAGTGCACGTGTGTAGGCAGAGTCCAAGGCAAACGGGGTAAATGTATGGTACATGTACATGGATGCTCGCATGCACATTCAACTGTGCAAATACGGTACATGTACATTTACTATACTGTACATGTACAGTGTAAGTTCTGTAGGGATGGGATGGGCCAATTCAGTGAATTGGCATTTTTTATCCACTGTCACTCATTGTTTTTTTTTAACAACACTGTAACCAAATGAACATAAAAAAAACAGAGAGAAGGCTACACCAATATACAAAAAGAATGACTCCGAAGGTTATGCTACACCTGGTTACAAGCAAACTATCACAAAGTACTTCTGGTCATATACATGTAAAAGTGTCTGTGAGCGCAACACATGTAAATGATTCATTTTAGAAGTTTCAATATTTTATCACCACAGAATATGACTTATAAATTATACAACAATTTTTTTCAAGGGACAAACTACCGAGTTAGAAATACTTCATGGTTTGTACTTGTCAATAATTCAAGGGCTTCATCAGTCTTGATGAAGTCGCATTCTTCATGGACATCACATCATTAAACCATTCATTCAATCCATTTACATTTGCCAGAGTGAATGCTGTACACCGTCTAGTTACAAGCTGAGCTCAAATTAATTCCTTTGGACAAAAGCCCCAAGGCCTTAGGTACAGCTACGTGTATGTCTACCTTGACAACAATCACCACGGCAACAAGGATCAACACAGCAGTTGTGGGACTGTGGACTTGCATGCACATGTATGTGGTAGCTACCGGTACATGTACGTACAACTGTACTGTCTATGCATTAACTGCTGTCACACTAAGGAACTTTAATACATCCGTGAGGTTGCAAATTGTCTCTGTTTTGAGGATATATCTGTGGTTAGGTCTACATATCTACTGTGCTGCCACATACATACTAAGACATGTAATATGTCTCACTTGTCACATCATCAGTTTCAAATCAAAAGTTTGAAAGGAAATAATTTTCCTTCATAAATATATGTACATTTAAGTTGTAAAGGCCTCGACTCCATCAGAGAATTAGCCTAGAAAACTCACCAACAAATGCAATACATGTACATTGAGAAGGGGGTCCTCTACATACTTGCAGATTGCTTGATTTTCCTCCACAACTTGGTCCATAAAGCCGGGTTTCCATATGGTCATAACCAATGCCAACCAAGATACAGTCACTGAAGACATGCTGTGTGGCATCATTCCATAAAAAAATTCAAACAAAATGGCATCCAAAACTAAGAAAGTTTTCACATAAAATGGCTTTTTTTGGTGGCAATATACTGCCTTTCCAAGCCGAACTGATACTCTGTTTGATGTATTTTGTTTATGGTTAGCTATTTGTTGACAACTGGGGCTGCACATGCTAGAAAATGGGCAAAATGAGTGCTGCTAAGTGAGAGGGGCATCGTACGTTTGTCATGCCAGCATGCGTGTTTGTGTGGGCCTTCTCTGTTGATCCAATGCAGAGAGTCGGCAAGTTGAACCTGGTCCAACTTTTCGAACTATCTGTGTTGAGGTTTGCATTAGGCACAGTCAAGTGTTTCCATATCACTGCATTTTATCAGGGACAGATCGGCGATGCTCTCTGTGTCTCTTTACGTCATGGGAAACCAGCCTTTACATGAGCACATACAGACAGATGGAGCTGCAACCAATGCAAATATGTACATGTACTCTGCATGTACACGGTACATGAGGTAGATGTACAAGTGCATACATGTACATGTAGGTCCTACATGTACATGTAGGTCCTACATGTACGGGTCTGTGCATGTCGCTCATGCCTGGAGCACTTGCTGTAAATGAAATCCTTGACAACCCAAATACGTGTCATTGATTTTTCTTCCACAATTTTGCCTGGGGTAAGGCAAGAATAAATGTACGTCTTGCGTCATCCTACCCTTTACAAAGGGCACGATCATCCATTGCCCTCCTCTGCCAGTGGTACTAAGACACAGTGAGAAGTGCAATGCATCATCTATCTTTTTTTTTTCCCCTTCATTTTTGACCAGCGGTTATACACCGCACCATACCGTCTTACGGCTTTCACTTGTTCCTTCGCTGTGCTGAGTTTGGAATTGAATTTTTGATGCTGTTAAATACTTCATGAGAAAGAATGTCAGCATAACAAGGTGATCAATACAAAATAAACAATGGAAGGTTCCATAATTCAGGTAGTGCAGCATTTCTTAACGTCTTTGCGGAGGACATGTACTCATGATCTGGCTAGTATCTGTATACACAGGCATAGATTGATGTGTGAAAGCGTTGCCTCGGCTCACCTCCAGTTGGTATTTTAACACTCTAATCTTCCATTTGTTTTAAAGTCTGAGAAGTCTGCGGAAGTGGAAATGTGTTGAACTTGAACCAGGCTGCTGTGAACAGCCTATAGTGGTAGAAAATATCACTCAATGGGCAAGATACCCCAATTTGTTGAAAAAAATATGAGATAGGAAATATGGTACAAATATTATTCAAAGGGCTCTTGCAAATCAGTCATTGTGGCACTTTAATGTAGGTGTACTTACAATGTACACTGAAAGTTGGCAGCTACATCCTGCTTTTTTTCAAGTAAAGGTAAATATTTTCGGCCAAAATTAATACTGTCTACAAGAGGTTTTAACTTGAAGGTTTGGAACAACTTGCCAAATGCCAAAATATGAAAGCTGCAAATAGCTAAGCATGCATGCATGTGTAAGCAGCTCAAAGCACATTGTTCTCCGTTGCTTTTACCTAACTTGAATTCTTCTGCTCAATCAAGACCGGCACCTTTGTACATGTACATCCTTGACGATAAAGTGCAACCTTTCTGAATGCTGTTCCATTGTGAAAACTATCAAAATGATAGCTGACCAATAAAGTTATGGACGCATTCACAAGAAGCTTTTAACACTTAAACATTGATGGATCCTTCAAAAGAGGCCCTTCGCTTCAATTTGATTATAATGAATTATGCACAAAGGGAGGCTTAAAAGTCCTTGACCACATTGTGTTTAGCTTTCAGGCTTAAGAATCTCACTTGTTTTTTATATCAAGCTTGTTTACAAAAATGTACATGCATAAACAATGGACTTTGTGAGATTTCCTTGTAACTACATGTACATGTATATGCGTCTTGCAAGGCAGATGTAAGGAAAGATCACAGTAAGTTTTGTTAGAATCAGGTTTTACAATACGATGCTGTAAACAATTTCCCACAAAAGGGTTGCGGTTGAGAGGTACATGTACATGTAGCTTTGAAACCAGCTGGCATTAAATAAACATTTCAAGTGATCCCATGCCATTACAGTCTCCTTAGGACAGACAGAGCACACTGTCCCAACATTGAGTACCCTCCGGTTCTTATCAGAACCACACATACTCACATAAGAGATACATGTATTTTGTATAGTGCTACTGTACCACAAACCTTACAGTCCATGTTTGCAAAGAAAAGAATGGGCCACTCCATGTACACCCAGACCAGATCCTGCCTGAACCAAGGATCCAAATTCTGCTTGGATAGTGAGGGCTAATTCCACTGCTGCTGGTCAACTGACAATTTTTTTCCCTCTGACCATTTGGTGCATGATTAATGCTGCACTGGCACAATCAATATGAGCCTGACAGGGTTTGCCTGATACATGTCAAGGCACTCATACATGAAAACATAAGGTAATAAATATGTGCTTGGCCGGTCTTTAACATACGTTTAAGACCAGCTCAGGAGAATGGATGCAACTGATGCTTGAGGCACAGACAAGGGTATTATCAGTGTTTAGTCTGCTAAGCTAGTCTTTCACGTTATACCGGCCGAGCACACATTTATTCCTATTCATACCTTTTTAGTCCAAGTCAAAAAAAGTCACTATGTGATGGATTTCCGGTGATTTTGTTCTAGAATTTTATTTTCCTTTTCCGGAACATTCCCATCCATTTTATGGAGTATTTCTTGTGCAAATAGTCCAAATAGCGCGGGCATGCCAAGCCGTGCGCACACAGACTCTTGACCAATCAGAATCCAACTGTCTTGTATCCAGGTCCAGTGCATAATTTACACAGCAGGCATTATTGAATCTCAGCGGGCATTATCGAATGTTCAAGTCAAGTCATGGTCAAGTTGCATGTTGTTGAACAGGGAGACTGTTTGAGGTATCTATGAACGTACCGGGTAGTTTAAAAATCTAAGAATAAAAGGGTTCTTTTGAAAAACTATTGGCATCTGTCATTTTTAACAATGTAAACTCAACAAGCAAACAGTCATTTTTCGAATTAGTATTTACTTTTGTGAAGTGTGGATAAATGTAAATGTTAAACACATATAGTCTGAACTTGGCAATGGAGTATATCCAACTGAAGTGGAACAAACAGCACATGTGCATCCTCTTTACCTAATACCAACAAATCCTTTCTTCAAACTTTGTGCGGGTCTGTCTGACATTTACTTCTATTCTGAGATGGAATATGAAGTGTCAAGTTCTGATTTCTTTTTAATAAACGTCCTTCCAAGATTGAGAGTTTCCACATGTTCAGTGTACATGTACATGTAAATGAGAAAGACACTTTACATGTCCTTCACTCTTTTTAACCCCTGCTCAAGTCATCTCAGATTAACAGCACGGAGAATAAAGCCTGATCAGCTTCCTACTCTGCTTCACCTTCTTATGTTGAGACCTGACTGACACAATGCTAGCCTTCTTTTTTCCTTGAATTTTTCGTGCAAATATCTTCCCAAGATTTTGAGTTACTAAAGATGCAGTCAACATCTACTCTCTTTACTCTCGCTTGAATAGAACCTCAACTTAAATCTGGAAAAGCTGGATTAATTTCTTACCTTCCAGTGCTGGGGCTTGGGTGACGGAGGACCTACATATCAAGGACAAAAGGTGGGGACCACCAAAAAAAAATGAAATTTGCTGGGTTACTTCTTGATGAAAACAACAGGAAATTCCTCTCTGAGGGACGCCGGGCAAGCATGAAATGTGGAAATTAAGGGGCAGGTGGTATTTGGAAGGTCAGGTGCGAAGAGGAAATGATACAGAAACAGCCAACACTGGACCGCTCAATAACAGAAAAGTGGAAGTAATGGGAAAAGGACAAGTGCCATTCAAATTACATTACATGTCATGAATACTGCATTCTAGCTCAATTTCAACTACAGTACACAGCCAATATCAGTTTTTTCAGTGAAGGTTTATGTTTTTGCCTAACATATGCTACCTGCACATGTTGATGTACATGGAAGTGTAACACTGGCTAGGTAATTGTGTTCTCTTATGCTATAATTAACAGTTGTGGCCATTCTCTGAGACTGCAGTGGACACAATCAAGACCACTTCTCAATGGCATTTGTTTTAGTTATACCAGTACATGTAGGTAGAGCGGAGATGATTGGACAACTTCAACTTCTGATGTCTATAATTGGATTAGGACAATTGTTTGAGCAGTTGTTGCTCCACATGAAAAAAAAAAAGAATTCCCCTTGAAACATGTACATGTATGTACTCTGTGACTACACACAGCTCACCTGTGCCCTGGCTTGAGCCACTTTTCCCAGAGTTCTCCCGAGACATACTTCTGGACCTGCTGTAGGTGACTTTGTGCTTTTGGGCACGGACCTGACCGGTCCACCTCTCCAGTATGTCATAGTCGACGTGACTTAGCACGTAATCCTCCAGAAATGCCGGGTTTTCATTGAGGTAGCTCCGCACCTGCTCTTGGAGAATGTGATCTGGACGCAAACATGAACAATACCGGTATGGCACATTTTTATGCTCACTTGACGGGCAGCCTTTTTTATCACTTTTTATATTTTATATCTTTTCAGTATTGTAAAGCCAACAGATGACATTTTGCACACAGTACATATGTATGCGCAGTGCAGGGCAAAACGGCCAACCTCAAATCATCCGCCCGTGACCATTACAAATTACACTGAAAATTGCACTTTTTATTTTATGACACTACATGTACACGTACATTATGAAGTGAGTTGGTCAGCTTCTGCACATGGTAAGTCGGTGCCTTGATCATGACCCAAACACACAATTCTGTAAGCCCCTGATACATGGTCTCACCCAGTGCACAATAGATGATGCCACACACTGTTCATACATGTATGCTTCAAATCTGTCATCCCCACCTACATGTACATGATCATGTTCCAGAAGCTTTATTAAGAAAATGCACATCAACATGCAAATAAGGCATGACGTCATCAGTACCGGTACATGGGCCTATTATTACATGTGCTTCTTATCAACAGTTAAAGGTAGCCATGGGAGCATTGCTTTGCGTGCTTTTCAGTTTTCTCGATAAAATGAAGTTCTGTCTCATTAAATTGAAGTATTGGTACTATGATTACGGTACGGTACCTGGCATAATATCAACGGATTCGCTGAATGATGGATGTGACAGAATCCCACGATGCCGGCCAATACCATTACTCAGGGTGGATGACTGCCCTGTGTCAAGAAAACAATCATAAAAACACATGGTTTGAAATTTGTCAGTTTCAGCACTAAGATTTTGGGGGTTAAAAAAAAAATAGGCTAATGCCAACACACATGAATATCAAGACCAAAATGAAATAACTTAAAACCAATGAAGAATCTATTTATGAGTAAGTCAAATTTGCAGGATTTTACATGTCAGTCTTGCATACACATGTACATGTAGATCTATACATAAGATTTCAGCAACTGATATGAATAGTAAGGTCTGTTCTGAGCATCTAATTTTGCCTGACACCTTTGACACTTAATTACGGGTAAAAGTTCTTTAAAAACTGAAATACCAGTTCATGTAGACAATTGGACCAATCCCTCAAATCTACTGGACTGGAACACCTGTTGCCAGACTGACACAGTGGCAAAAGTGATAATGAACCAACAGTTTCTGTTAACCCTCAAAGAGCCGGGTTTTTTGGCCTTGTCACAGGGGAGGGGGGGAAATCTGCCCCCCCCTCAGATCTCGGCCATACGATGGTGTATTTCAATAGAATTGGCAATGTCATAGAGGCACACAGAGGCATACATACTAATCGTCTGTGTGAAATTATATGTAAATTAATTAAGTTTTTGCATAATTATGACTCACTATTATTCACTCTGCCCTTTGTACGATGTGTGTACAAAGTCAATGGTGTGTACAAAGTCAATGGTCATACTTCACCCTGCCTCTTAAAATTCTTCACTGAGAGAGAACACCATGTCCAATTTGCATAAATTTGGGGTCAAAATGAGGTTAATACATTGGAAAAAATTGTCATAAAGTATCAGCACGCAGAAAATAATCCCGGAGATGCTATCAGCAAAAATCAACAGGGGGGTGGATTCTGCCCCCCTCCCCCGGCTCTTTGAGGGTTAAACATGTACATGTCATATGCCACGTAATACACATATATGTACATGTACATGTACTTGTGCATATCCCTTTATACATGTATCTTGTATAATTTCAGCGAAAATTTCACAATAATTTGGGAATATATTTGAAAAAATGCTATACTGCTGGGGTTTTACCAGTAAAGTCACTGGTCTCAGACCACTAGTCCAATAGTTACTTCAAACACTGACCAAGTTCTTTTCTTACATGTATCTGTTTTTTTTCCAAATACAATGAACATACATCAAAAGAGACAGGACAGTTCGAAAATTAAGTTTGCATCAAAGCAGTATACTTTCATGCATGTACATGCCTAAGGGTCCATGTACATGTATGCACAAGTGTGTGTGTGTGCAAATTTCTAACTCAAATCCTACACAGACATTTTTCATGCCATGATTCAGTAGCCTTTCCAATCATTTTTTAAAAAGAAAATGATTGTACGTCCTTTTGGCCTAAATTTAAAAATTCGTTTCTGGTTATATGTGTACATTTATACGGAATTTGAAAAATAAAATGTTTTTGTGAGGTCTGTGGAAAGATGGGGGAAAATGAAAGGGAACGAACTCAAAGACATGTCAAACAAAAAGAAAAGAAAGGATATGAAACAAAATAACAGTAGATGACTCACCACTGACCTACATGTTGAGTAAATCCACCCCAGCAAGTTTGCCAAAACTGCCAACTCAGTTCATTACTAAATCACAAACTGTACATGTCATTGCCCTTATTTTTTCCTACTTGAAATCTCATATTTCATCATACATGTACACGTACCGCACAGGCATGACAGGTGGTTTCAGTTCTTCCCAAAGAAAGAGTCAAAAATGTAAAAAAAAGCCGAATGGAACACTATGCTGACAAACAGACTCAATGTTGGGGTTATGTATGTACTGTACTTGGCATCGTGCATCTCATGGAAGGTTATGCTCTACTTTTTTTTGCACAATCTGGTCACCGTTCTGAACATTTAAACTGTACGTACTAACCTGTAACTATCATACGGTCATGGTTTGAGCGGGCAATCCCGTAGCCATAATGCCCTTGGATATGGGCATACTTCCCTTCCATTCGGTGGCTCGGCGGACTGGGCCCCAGGTAGACAGAGTGGCCTTTGCTGGGTGCATGGGGGCTGGTGGGGGCCGGGCTCCGCTTGTGAGCAGGCAGAGGGGGCAGCCTCCGACTGGCGGTCTGCTTGCTAGGACCTGACATCCTCTGCCTGTTCATTGGTGCTGACTGCTGATACATGCCACCATCACAGAGACTTCAAAATAACACTGTAAGGAGGACAAAATTATGAGACAGCTTAACTGGAAAGGCTCCAGATTTCAGACACTTTTTATCTAGTTTTTGGGGAAGTTTTCGGCTACCAATGTGACTACTGCAGAAACCTCTAAACAAAGGCTACTCTGAAAATGTTTAAAACAATGGTTTCAAGAAATTTTTGAACGATTTCTGTTTTTTTCTGCTCTAAGAAGTAACAAATAAATACTAAATACACATGTACCAGTATGTAATATAAAACGCAGTTATCCAGTTATGCTACATGTACATGTATATACATGTGTAAAGCCACATCCGTTCACATAATTACACTTACAAGCAAAATGAGAAGCTATCGATAATTACACTCCGTCTTTCCTTTCAATGAACTTCTGCTAAATAGCATGAACATGTACTACTAGTCCATGTATATGTACATGTATGTCCATGCACGCTGTACATGTAGATTTTGCTATTGGCACCTGACATGCCAGATATCGCACCTGAACATAACTGATGGTTATCAGCAAACCTGTGATCAGCACTTATGATGGACCAGCTAACTAACTCCTGCAAGCATGACCAGTTAGCACAGGAGTGACATACATTACATGTACATGTACTCCTGTACACGTGTGTTGTCCACACTAATGGGAGGGGGAGACTCGTGGGTTGAGTTCCAACTGGGTCATTTTGTGAATTTTTGCAAGTGTGATCATTGGGGATAACATACAGTAGTCAAGTGCACATGTATGTACCAGTCCATTATATACACTACTGGTACGCGTGGGTAATTCCAGAAATTAAGGGTCCAAAAGTGTGACGCGTTTGTGTCCCTGTTACCATGGTTACATCTGACCTTTGTTATTTGGCATGGAAATATCATCGGAATTGATTTCAAACTATTACTATTTGTTTGGCAGGTAATTTGCATTATTCATCACTCCTGGAAATTAGAACATGTGTTCTGAACTTACAAAATCATATGTCAGATGAGACAGGGACACGAAAAAAATAGACATCCAATTTATGGAATTAGCCATGTACATGCACATCGTACAACCAATACATGTAGATGGAAAAAAGCTTGAAAAACATGTTTCTACAACGTCTGCTTCAATTACTGTCTTTCTGATGGTCATTACATTAACTACATACAATACATATCACCAGTACATAACAAAATATTACAGAATTCTTGAATATAAACACTCTGAAAGTCGGATTTCACTGCAGAACTCATTCAAGGTATGTCTATGTATTTTCAAATTTACTACTACACATACTAGTACGTGTTTATCTACGTGTACACACAATGCTCCTTATAGGTGTACAATACATACCTGTATAATAACAGCGTGTTGATGCTTTGAGAGCCGTGGTCTGGATGAAAACCAACTATGACCTTTATTCCAGCACAGTTCCTTTCTTAGTATGGCACGTTACCCATTACAATCACCAATGAATGCTACTGAAGATACCGGTACACTCCGTCTCTCCTAAGTCAAGATCAAGTCCCTTGCAAATGACTTAAAGCCATTGTCCAAACAAAATTCTATTGCACCAAGCCTACACGCTACTTGCGTGTCCACACAATGAGAAAAGAAGCTTCAGCCGGGTCTAAATGGGAGATCCTGCACAAGTAGGGACATCACCGACTCAACCAACGCAAGGTCTGTCAGTGATGAGGACCATGCACCTGGCAGTGATCTCCTTTATGAAAACGGGCGGGGGAACAGCATCCCATGACATTTTCTCCAATATCATTGCAAAGTATTTTTTCTATGACTAGCCTGGGGGACTTTTGCTAGTAATGTCTTACAATTTTGACACAAATTTGGTGATAATCTAACCTACTTTTCTTGCAAAATGTCAATTTTCTGAGACATGACAGCCGAAAGGTCATTTTTCCCACTGACTTGCTCATTGCTTGAGGGCCAACACGTGTGAGGCCATAAATTATAACCCTGACGACAAAACCCTTCAGTCCAAATTGAAATGAAACTGCACAGAGACACTCATAATGAGTGTCTTATCTTCATGCAGAGATTAGGTATCACGGCCATGAAATGGTCTGAACACAGTCCTTGATCTAAGGTTTGAAAGAGCCCAGCATTTTACAACTTCAAGAAATTTATGAAATAAATGGTCAGCATAGAAAAAATCCATTGAAGAAATCCTGATTAAGAATCAGAAGTCTGCATGGAACTTTTGATTGGTTACAGCGCACACATACACACACTTTCAATTAATTTGTAATACACTGTGTATACAAAACTAAATTAACATACAGGAAATTAGTACCTGTACATGTACATGTATACATGTACCATTTTCCAGTTCTGATTTATTTAGGGATCTATGTAATAATGCAATTACTGCAACCCTCAAGAAAGGACTTTTATTTTCAATTAACCTTCCTTAAAATCTTTGTTTTGCTATTTTGTTTTGTTTTGCTAAGGCATTTTATGACCTTGTGATTTTTATGCTAATGTACATGTACGAGTAAGTTTCCATATTCATGAACATACCTGTGATGTCATCCCAGGGACAAAACCTTGATGTTTTGTTGACTGTACATAAAAGCTGCTCATTTTTTGGATTTCAATGTCCTAAATTTACTTTCCTTTGGTTATTACTGTACATTAAGACCAGCAATTAGCCAACGAGCTAGTGTCTCAGAAATGTTTATCAAAAGCCAATTTACAAGTTGAAAAACATCATCATTCCATTGGAGGCACATGCCCCCTGTATGTCCATTCACCCCTCCCCTTCACTCAGAACTTAGAGGAGGGAAAAACTGAAGATACTTGTAGTTTGCCTTGGTCAGTGTTTAAATAGTGAAACCAAAATGTGCACCTCAGTTAAGCCACTGATCTAGAGTTCACTACAAAGAAAGTAGTGCCAACTTCATACTTTGGAACCAAAATGGCTGTTCATTCCGTGTTCAGCATGCAGCTACTGTATTGTGTACTAATTGTCTACACGTCCACTAACGCATAATCCACCATTTTGGGTCCAATGATTGCGGCACTCATGTCACAACTCTCTCTATATAGAGCCCTGCACTGATCGCAGCTACATGTACATGTACAATAGATCAGTTGTCCAGAAAAGTTAGGCTTACATGTATAATGTACTTCAAACACTGTATCTGAAAATTTACACTTTCAATTCACTTTACCCCAGAAGGATGTCAACTACTCTACATGTATGCATGAAGTTTCTACACATGAGTTTGAAAACTATGTACATAAAGTGTATCTAAGCCCCTTAAACATATAGTACATTTGTACAATGTACAATCCAAGCTATTTTTTTTTCAAACTAACCAGATGTGCAGAGTCCGCAGTGCATGGTTCATTCCCCAATTGTCTCAAGGGCTGATCAACTCTGCCTAATTACCAGTAAGCCCTACCACTCTGACAAGATGAATCGACTTTAATGAATAACTGCAAATTTATATACCAATCACTGGTAATTCTAATTTAGAAAATTCTGACAGAATTTCTTGATCATGCCTCTGGAAAGCTTACCAGAATTTTAAACAGGGTAAGTACCTGAACCACGTACAATGGATATATATGTATATCATGTACAATGCACTCGTGGTGTTTATGAAAATAGTGCATACAAGTACACTGTACATACATGTACAAGTACTGACTACTGTACAAAGATGTTTATAAAATGGTTTTTTTGTCATTGGTATAGAGGGGTATTCAGCACAAGAGTCCACTGGACTGAGAAAGGTAAGTCTGGAAAATTCAAGCTTGCAGGAAGGCTCAAACAACTAAGAAACAAGACAAAAAGCCTATTGAGAAATGATATTGAAAATGTGTACTTTATAATCATAAATAATTTCAAAGTTTTGCCACCTCCACCCAAAAAACACTTTGGTTCTACATGAGTCCTTGTTTACAGCTAACACAATCTATCACCAGGATTTATTTTTAGTGCAAAATGACATTATGAAAGTTCAAACAGCAATAGTGTTCCTAAAGACAGTTCTCCCCCCCTTCCCATTCACTGTGTAAATGTATAATTACTTAGGTACACTGTAGGCCTAAAGATACATTATTTACTGTAACTATGCAAGCTGCACTGTTAATCAGAAACACCTTTGGCATTTACATTTGTTAATGCCAAAGGTTACCTAGCCGTACATGTACAGAATTTAAAAAGCTTCTGGTTACATTCTTAGGACTGTGCCGAATGATGATTTTTTCTAATTTGAATGTTTGAAAGCAAAATTTATGAAAAGGGCAAATTTTCTTTTGTAATAAATGAGACAAATTGCACTATGGAGGCTTGTTTCAAGCAGATTCAAATGAAAAGTGTCAGAAATCTTACGACGATTTAAAAAGTAAATTATTCAATAAACACTTTGAAAGGAATACAAATTTTCAACAGGGCAAGAAGTCTTGTTGATCTCTTAACTCTTGCTAAATTGTGGAAGCAGATACTCTTAGATGTGAGAAGCTACAGTGTGTACATGTATCATACTCATCATAATGTACAATTGTGTGTTATTGCAACTGATTTTGTATAATACATGAAGTTTGTTCATCAACAGTCTGCCGGCCGGTGCGACTGAATATTCAGATATATTCAAATTGAAGATCGAATAGTGAATTATTCGAATTGACTCAGCCCTATTAATTCTGTACAAGTACAATGCATGTCTACTGTAAGTACTAGAGGCAGAAACTGGCACATTTTAGATTAAGTACATGTACTATATAAATGTATGTACATGCAAAACATGTGAAACATGTACATACATGTACATGTACGTACATACACATGTACATAAAGCTTCTACACATTTTCAATTTGAATCAAATTAAGTCTTGCGAAAGGTTCAATCTAAGACGGGTAAGTACACATGCAGAAAAGCTTGAAGTATTAGATTACACTGCATATATCTACTAATTTACAGGGTCCATCAACCTCTAGCATATGTCAATTTACCAATTTGGACCCCGCATGTTCCATCAGCCTGAGTTGGGTT